TCTACTCGTGGAGTAGAATGCTTTTGACCATTGATCAGCACAAAACGGATACCGGGTTCCACCCTAATTATTGGTCAAACTTGACCAATTTCCAACAATTTAATTATTCAAATTATTTGCATGAGACTCTAATATTTATATGATTATTAATTTGATTTTTCTGTATTAAGTATTTTTCATTAGTTTTGGAGAATCATGATTATGACGTGCCAACTCGAGAGTGAAGTAGGAAACCTGATTGGGGAAATGACATACTATCTCATATTGAAAAAATTTATTCATAAAGACGAGTTTGACTATTTATTCACCCACAATTTGACGGCAATTATCTCTTACAATATAATTGTCGATGGAAAATTGATTTGAGTGATGACTTTAAAATAAAAAATTAAAATTTATCAAACCTTACCCAACGTAGAATAGAGTATCGGTAAGAAAATAAGTAATAAAACACCAAAGAAAAAGAATATCAAAGTAACGCTAAGAGAAATTGATGCAAAGTCGAGATAAGAGTTGAACTCTTTGTCCTTAAGTCGATTTTGTCTCGCAACGATGCCTACTGATGATGGCAATCAACTCTCAAAATACAACGACTATATTCTTATATTTGTAGCACTCCAAAATACAAGAACAACGAATCGAATATTAGTCTTTGTACTACTTCTAGAATGAAATGGAAAATAGATTTTTATGGAGAGTTTTGGTTAGGAAAAGAAGAATTTAATATTATGCTATGATTATATATCATTGGATGATTAAAATGGACATCACAAGGATTTTATTTATAGGAGAGGAAATGTTGTGAGTGAAGTGTTGGGCTCCAAAATTCAGCAATCTTTGTCAAGGGTCGCAACTTTTGTTATCCTTAGCCATTGCCATTATGTCGCTCGAGCGTCAGAAACAGAGACTGTCACTCGCGTGTTCCTAGAGTGAATTAACTGTACTAGAAATTTTTAAAGTAGCGAATTGAACTATATTTTGTACTTCATGCTCATGGGATCCACATGAATAAAAAATGCCAAAAAAATGCCCCTTTTATTATGAGGGTGTTAAATCTTCCCAGACAATATAGCATGTGATTATTTTAAGTACCGTGCTATTGGGCCAGGGCCCTTTACCCTTATTTTAAACCACACTGCCACTAGTGATGTAGAAACATGATATCCATTTCCTCTTTCAAATAGAAATATGCTATCAATTATTTATTAAATATTTATGAATAATTTAAAAAATATGCAATGACACTCTACTATATTCAACTGACAACTCGTTAGTCAAACTATTGATCCGATGACCCAATGCCCAATGGTCGGGTCTAACTTAAAAACTTTGAAAACTGCCGTTCTTTCCTTATAATATCGTTCAAAGAAAAAAAAGTTGTCTCTTTTTTGAAAAACTTTATTTTGAAGGATATTTATGATCACGAAAATTCAATAATCAAAACTTAAAATAGAAACCCTTTGCAGCACATATAGCCAAAATGAATTTGCAATTAACATTTTATTACGCATCTTGTCCCTAATGACATTTAATTTTTATCATCAAGGACGATATTAAATATTAAAAATAAGAACTCGACATAAAAAGTCAAGAACATAAATGCTACAATAAATAAAGGTTGAGAACCTTAAATGCAATTAAATTATGGTGCAAACGACTAAAAAGACTTCCAATATAACCACACTATATTAATTTCACCATCCTATCTGCCATTTAAGGAAAATAAATGATTTTGGCCTTCCTACCAATTTTTTTAGGGGTAATTACATTAATTTGAGATATGGAATTGGGGCTATAAATTGAACACAACTCATAATACAAAAATCCATCTTTCTCTAATCAATGGCTTCATATAATTTTGGTCATTTCATTATACTCTTTGTGACCATTCTGTCCCTGTTCACTCCTAATGAATGTAAGTACACTTCATGTGCCTTCTTCTTCTTCCTTCTAATTTCGAATCTCATATTCTTTTCATTGTATTTCCATCATGGCGTCATATAGTTTAGAGCATGTTTGGCTAAGCTTAAAATTTGGCTTCTTTTTTGCTGTATTGCTATACCAAAAGTGATACATCTTAAAAATATTGACAATATAAGTTGTTACTACAGGTAATGACAAGATCCTATTTGAAAATCTTAAAAGCAGCAAACTGGAATATGAAAAAATAAATTTAGATATATGCATGAAGCAGACGTGTCAAAAAGAAATAGAGTGTCATTGTTGCATATTCGATAAGAAAAAATGTTATTTCATTGAACAACAATGTAAAGTAGAGTGTAAACGTTCGGCTGCTGCTTCTATTCCCTCAAAACCTCTCACCTGCAGCTTCATCAATTTGTATGCACGGTGCATTGAATAATTTGGATTTTCAATAAAATGGTTGGTTCGAATGATCAGTAATTCAAACTTTTTTAAATTTATTTAGTTTTTATTAATTATTTAATATTAATTTTTTACGCACCCTCCTACAGTTGCCGAACCCATTTTCTCCGTCAAAAGCCTAATGTGTGGACAATTTCGTAAATGAGTGACAATATTGT